CTATCACTTGTTCCGGTCATTGCAAAATTATTTAAATGGAAAAAACTTTGACTCTTTGGAGGCCTTAAAAAACGGCGTCTCTTCGTTCTTCGAATATAAACCGCGCAGTTTTTATGATCGAGGCATCCGTATGCTGCCAGAACGTTGGAAAAAGATTATAGAAAACGATGGAGAATATATCATTGATTGAATAAAGATTTTTGTTTGCCTAATCACTGTGTGACTTTTACTCACAAACTCCGCACGAACTTTTGCACTCACCCAATACATCATGTATGTGTATACATGTATGTATACACATACATCTATACATGTATGTGTAGAAAAGAAGAATTGACAACGCAGCACACACACGTTTGTCCAAAGTCTGTGAGAAAATATATATATGAAAAAATACGAAAAGGAGACAGCGCGACATGTCGCTGCTCACTGAACATCTTGACAATCGCTTCACCTCGCATATATATACATATATACATATAAATTATAAATTAAATTATATATATACAGGGTGTCCCATTTTTATCCGGCGGGCTGAATAAAATTCGGGGATGATATTTTCCAGAAAAAAATGTCAAACAAATGTTGCTCAGTTCTAAAGGGGACATTCGATGCCATCAACAATTTTGACCTCGGGTGAAGGGTTCAAGGTCATTCAAGGTCAACTTTTTTTTTAATGGAAACCCCTATTTTTCAGATCGGCAATCGATTCCACGTAAAAAAATGAAACTTTTGTCTGAAGCATTTTTGTATAACGCAAACTAATTTTACTTATCCAGCCTCCAAAATTGAAATTTTCAATCTTTCTGAATTTTTTACTCGAGAATGGTGGGGTTTGGAGAGAAATTGCAGAAGAGAGAAAGTCCTTGGAATGCTGCAAGGAATTCACTCGAATTTTCGCATGCCGAGGGTACTGGACATGATGAGATAAAAGATTTTTTCCAATCATTGGCGGAAAAAAGTGCACGATCAACTATGCGAAAATTCGAGTGAATTCCTTGCAGCATTCCAAGAACTTTTTGTCTTCTGCAATTTCCCCCCAAACCCCACCATTCTCGAGTAAAAAATTCAGAAAGTTTGAAAATTTCAATTTTGGAGGCTGAATAAGTGAAATTAGTTTGCGTTATAAAAAAGTGCTTCAGACAAAAGTTTCATTTTTTTTACGTGGAATCGATTGCCGATGTGAAAAATAGGGGTTCCCATTTAAGAAAAAAAAGTTGACCTTGAATGACCTTGAACCCTTCACCCGAGGTAAAAATTGTTGATGGCATCGAATGTCCCCCTTAGAACTGAGCAACATTTGTCTAACATTTTTTTCTGGAAAATATCATCCTCGAATTTTATTCAGCCGGCCGGATTAAAATGGAACACCCTGTATATATAGCTAATTTAATTTAAGACATTACATGTGAGGTTGTGATTAGTGTGTACGACATACGTGTGGAATATAATAACGTCTTCCGACTGATTGTGAATGCAACCTAATGAGAGTGCGATCGAGGAAACGAAAATACGAGAGAGTTTCAAACACTAATCTTTTTATTAGTTGTACAGATTGAAAAATCCTTTTGCACAATGTAAGTACTTATAATAACGAAGGCTGGAAGAATAAGTTTTATGTAAAATTCAATGAAAAATTTTACAATTACAGTTTCCTTGTCATAACATTACTCCACGCATGAAACAGACAAGGATAGTACGATTGTGTCTGCCTGCAGCTCCATCGATCATGATTATGCGGAACTAATCTATTATTCTGTTTTATCCAAAAATGTAACACAATTCCGTATGCATTACATTTTCTCAAACACTATTTCTTTTACACTGACTTCTAAGCTCGTTTCTGTTACTTCAGTTTTATTCTTTCATATTATGGCTAGTACGGAAGCAAAAGCTTTTGCATGGATAAACTGCAGAACTTTTATAATTAATAAGTAAATTTACGAGCTGACACAAAACATAATAACGAAACTGTAATTTTGTAATTTTTCATTGAATTTTACATAAAACTTTGTGCTCCGTACTTCGTTATTATAAGTACTTTCGCTGTACAAATGGATTTTTCAATCTGTATAGCTAATAAAAAGAATAGTGTTTGAGAAAATTGAGTCAATTTGTCGGTAAAACAGACGACTCCAGGATCCCCTTAATATACTGTTTTACAAATTTTATGAAGCCTTTTGCCACTTTTCTTCACAATCACTATTTGTTTTCTTCATTTCTTCAGTTATAACTCAAAGTCTCCAAGACATTTGTGTCTATGCCACAATTACTACTTATTTGACACTCGTATATGCCATCCTTCTGCTCTCGTAATAAGTGACAGCGCTGACGTATGAAGCAGTGGTTGTTTTTCTCCTCAAGTTGGAGCGCGTTCCGAAGTCAACAAAAAATCGGTGCACATACCTTTTAGTTCACGAGTGTACACACAGTCTAGTGACAGATTGATGGCAAAAACATATCAGATCCTGACGTACGCAGTCTGGTGGCAAATTGACGACAGAAATACAACAGATTCTGCAGTGCGCAGTCTGGCACCAGAATGACGGCAGAAACGTAACAGATCTTGCTGTTCACAACCTGACAGCAGACTGGTGACAGAAATACAACAGATTCTGCCATATTCATTTTTACATCCCTCCTTCCCCTTCCCATTCAGTCATACACATTACGTGAAAGTAATTATTAAAAAACAATACAATATACGAACGTAATTGTTTTTATTTATCACACAAGACAAAACGAGACAGCCAATCAGATTCACAATGGTGTTTACCGTAAATGGCGGAACACGAAGGCGACGATGTTTCCTCTCATAGCCTCAGGAAGTGACGACACACGGTGTGTCACTTTCATTTCTATTGCCACACTTGAAGATCGCTTTCCGAAGATTCCTAAAAATGATACATGACAGCTTATACCTGGACGGCATGACCGTCCTCCCTTATAAGGACCTTTGTACGAGCGGAGAAACAAGAGAAATAGGCGTAACTCCCAAAAATCGATTGGAACGGGCAAATAATTTCGACTTCTGGGCATAGACAATTGGTACTCTGTGTCGACTTTACGGTGTCTCTCGGACATTTTACATGTTTAGGTCATCACGGGAGGATCGGATGTCACGGAGGACCGACGAATCTATTACCGAAGAACGCAAGAGACACAGGTAAATATTTTTATCCAGATTTCTCTGATTTTCCCGTCTCATCCCAACAATTATTAAGTTACAATGTATCGATACTACAATTTGCTATGCCATTATGAATACGACACGTGTATTGTATTTACTGTGGGAAATTGTGACATTAATACAATGTAACTTTTAATCCATGTATTTACTTAAATATATATTATACATAATTGTAGTTAGAAAGATGCAACTGTAATATAATTTCAATTTACAGATATCGCAGCAAATTGCCACTTCACCGTTCATAAACCCTTTTATCAGTTACTCCAACATCGTCTCGAAGTCACCGTGTGTCGTCACTTCCTGAGGCTATGAGAAGAAACATCGTCGCCTTCGTGTTCCGCCATTTACGGTAAATACCATTGTGAATCTGATTGGCTGTCTCGTTTTGTCTTGTGTGATAAATAAAAACAATTACATTCGTATATTGTATTGTTTTTTAATAATTACTTTCACGTAATGTGCATGACTGAATGGGAAGGGGGAGGGGGGATGTAAAAATGAATATGGCAGAATCTGTTGTATTTCTGTCACCAGTCTGCTGTCAGGCTGTGAACGGCAGGATCTGTTACGTTTCTGCTATCATTCTGGTGCCAGACTGCGCAACAGATTCTACTGTATTTCTGCCGTGAATCTGCCGCCAGACTGCGTGCGTCAGGATCTGTTACGTTTCTGCCGCCAATCTGCCGTCATAGTATTAAACCGCGTTTGTTTGAATTCTGTCGCCAATCTGCCGTCAGACTGCGCACGGCAGGATCTATTTCCTTTCTGTCGTCAATCTGCCGTCAGGCTGCTTAACAGAATCTGTTCAAATGTTGACGTCAATCTGATATCAAACTTCTATATCAGATTTTGTCTCAATGCTGCTGACATTCTGCCGATATCATCTGATATTGCAGAATCTGTATTAATTTTGACATCAGTTTGTCATCAACTCCTCCAGCAGGCGTCTGGCAAAATCTGTCTCGGACAGATTTGGTTATTAGGATTACTAATAATTACTTTGTTAATAATTTTTCATTTTTCATGCATGCAGAATACGACTGCAGTGCATTACATGCATAATGCATTTGCTTCATACTTTGGTATTACCGCATGAATCGGCAAGAAGAATGTTTACTCTTTCTCCAACTTGATTCTATCCACGTTGCTGGCAAAGAGTGGATTTCCTAAACTGTACGCTATAACTGTACACTATTTTTTCATCCATTTACGGTGATTTTTCACAAACAATTCGTTAAACTTCGTGTCATTTTAATACAAACATAATATTGTTATATTTTTATTGAGTGGTGCACTCAACAACTCAGAGCGCTGCCAATGGTCCACTTATTTCTTTTAAAGATTCATTGAATTAATAGTTGCGCTGTTCGACACTGCATCGAAAATATATGGGAAAACCATTTTGCAAACAATTGTGAGTACATTCGAAGATATCATAATAAGCAAATAAATTACCTTCTCAATAGACTGCATATTTATTAATGCACTGTACATCATTTTAAATATAACATTGTTCTAACATTGTTTTCTCATTCAGCGCGGTGAAACAGACATATTTTATAAATTTTTTTTTCGCGCAGATAGAAGATTTTACGGATGTAATTGTCTTTGGGGATTGTTTAATACTGTTTAAGGAATATTTGTTAATTTGGAGGATATTTCAGTGAAAACAACAAGGTTCCATTTCTTTTTATTAAAGGACGATTCTCAACTTGATTATCCTAGAGGAAATTATCAATTACTGGCAGTGGAATAGAAAAAAAAGTAATCGATCAAAATTATTAAGCAACTCTGCCTTCGATATTTGATTCATTTATATTCTTTTTCTGTTTCGTTTACAATATTTACTTATATATTTACCCACTAGTTAGTTATACCTAATTAGAAATAGCGTACGACGGAATAAAAATATTACGCACATATAAAAGTATCACATAAAAATACAATATAATATATATTTACAATATAATACATTTTTACACAGCAAACGTTTATATCGGAATAAGATAACTTTGAGAAAATAATTCTATTTAAAGAGACACACATGTTTTCACACATGTTCTTAGTAAAAATATTTACAGTTGCTTTAACGCCCAAACCAACATTCAAGGATAAATATTTAGAAATATTTCTGTAAAGGTTCCCCTAAAATTTCCTCTAAAGCGCAAACAGCTTTCTGCGCACATTTCTCTGTTGTGATGTCTTCATCCTCTAATATCTCCGCCAAGAAAGGCATAGTTTCCGGTAGAAACGATAGGAAATCTTCTCCAAGTTTCCTCGCGATTTCCACCTAGATCACAATGATATACAATTATAAATGAAAGATTAATATATTATAATTATAATAAATCCACCCCAAATATTAGAAATGGAATTATTAATAAACATATACAATTTGTACTCTCGTATCTTTTACTTTCTACATAAAATATTAAAATAAATATTAATATATAATTAATATAAATAAATAATATTAAAATAAAGATAAAACTTATATTAAAACTTTTACTGTCGATCAAAAAAATGTCCACATCAAATTTTTTAAAAATGTAGATTAGATTATATGATATATAACCCAGACATAAAAACAAAACACAATTTATCTATAATATATAACCCACAGCATGGAAAGCAAGCACAAATTAGATTCTGACAAAAGAATTGTTAAATATACGATTTAACATACTCCAACAGTTATTTATTATCCTAAAAAATACATACAAGGAAAAAAATAGAAACTTCACTTTCAATAATCGCATTATTTCAATCAAACTAATATATCTCATCTTACCAAACCGTTCAATGCGGTTCTTCTGACGTAAGGCTTCGTATGCTTGGTCTTCAGCAATATTTGACAAACCAGCTGCTTATGTAATGCATCATCAGGAATGGCACTGACAAAGGAAGCTATACAAGGTACAATCAGTCGGCTAGCTCGGCTTTCGTATTCCTCCTCTGTGCCCATTGTATTCTCTATTTGTTCCACTATAGGCTGCGCGAGGATCTCAAACCTTTCCTGACTGACAAAATTATGCGCATCATAATTGAATACACGGTGAAGAGTCAATAAAATCGCCTCTACCAACTCGATTCTACTCGACTCTTCAAGAAGCGTCAATTCGTGTTTCGTATTGCTAACATATGTGTTGTTGGTTTTCAATAGCAATGCCGCATGCTTGAGGAAAAGTCCGGCAAATAGAGAGAACAAGGATTTCAAGTTCTCTGCTATATTTGCCGATAACCTAAGGAGAAATGATCAGAATCATATTATTGAAAATATACTACATATTCGTGATATACGGTTAATAAATTATTCTAATTATACAGTGTGTATAAAAAGTATCGGGACGATAAAATATCATAAAAAATAAACATTTTAGAAACAAATGTTTCAAATAAAAATTGTAAGGTTTCTAAAGATCTATTTCTTAACATTATGAGTTTGACTTTGGCGTTTGGTGGCGTTGCCAAAGTCAGGACAAGGTCACCTTGAATTTTTTAAGCGGAACTCCATATTCTTTATTGCATATTCTTATTACCTTTCTTCAGACCATTTCAAAGCACTATAATTTTTTCCACTATGAGTAAACCGTTTCGAAGTTATCGAGCTTTTTATGATAAGATGTCCAGCCAGCGGCTGGAGCAATTTCTTGACTTGTATTTCAAACACATGTAATATTAAAATAATATTAATGTACTAAATTTATAACAGCACTAAAATTCACCTTCGAATCATTTCAAATGAATTGCAATGAATTTAATTTGAAATAAAACACATTACTTGTACATGATACGCATTGTTTCCTATGGGAAAGATAAATGAATTTTCTTACTAATTTTTCTTTCTTCAATTGAATTATCGATTTTGTTATCTAATTAATACAAATTTCTGTTTATTGGATAAACCTTTTTGTTTCCTAACTTATTCGTTAGACTTTACTTTTTCTTTTAGAGATTAACCCATTCTTTTAGAGATTAACCCAGACAAGCGCATTTTTAACATAATTTTTAGCGACTTTATTTGCAACGTTAAAGGTGTAAAATAAAATTGAAAAATATCATTCCTTACGTAAAATTTTACGTTCTTTCAGAATTCACTATCAAAATTTGTATAACATAAAGTCCAAAAAAGTTATGGCGGTTTTTAAGTCAAAAAACACGAAAAAACCGAAATCATTTTTTTTTCATTTTTTTTCACAACATAGTAGCAAATTTCAACTCTCTCTGCAACCATCGGTGGCCAAAATAGTTGTACTTTAAGGGTATATTTTCTAAGTTTGTCAAAATTGTCATTTTCATTATAAAATGGCAGCTAAATCGCAAAAATTTACGAATTGTATTTTTTTCACAATAATTCATAAATTTTGGAAAACTAATGGCTTATTATCACTGAAAATAATCGATATTTGATCGATCGATATTTGCAGTTCATTTTCGATCAAATACACAATTTCAATTTGGCGGATTCAACATGACGATCAAATAGGTGTGAAAATTGTCGATTTTTTTACATTTTTTCTAATTTTTCCACGAATTCTTTCTCGAAAACCGTTTTACGCACATACTATTATCATATATACATATTAACTATTATGAGTTAACCCACTAATGCCCAGAAGGCCAACAATTTTCTGTAAATTTTGGAGTAAAATCACACCTTCAAAATCTTGGAATTTTTTTGTGAAACTATGTCCTCTTAGATTTTCAGGATCACTCTTTCAGATGCAGTTGTTAAAATTGAATTTTTTTCACAAGAAAATTAAATATGGTGGCGTAAAGTAAAAAAATACTAGGAAATGGAATTTTATTTTAATTCCATTCTCACATCAAAAAAGGTTTTCCATTCCTACGAAGAAGACCTAAAAGGGGGTTATTCTAATTGTATTTCAAGAATATAAACTGTTCGAAAATCGAATTCAATGTGGCGACTTCAAAATGATAAAAGTTACTAGTTATATCACGAAATAAGATAAAAATGAGGATAATCATTATTTATGAAATCTACTTTGACAGTTTCACTTGAAAACTTTGTATAAAAGTGAATTAGCAAAAAATCCAAGAGGGCGGATAAAAAATGGCAACGTTCATGTAACAAAAATGTCTAATAGTATAGATATCACATCACATTTTTGCAAAGACGTGCCTGTTATGCCTTATTTTCCTATATACTGTGATTTTCAATTATTTCGGTGAGTAAAATCAGTGAGTGCATTGAGAGAACGTTGTATTTTGGACATAATAAATTAGTTGACAAATCTATATTTAGTTCGAGTAACACTTATTAACTGGTGAAAAACAATTACATTCAAACAAATATATAATTTCTTTTTCTAGCATTTTTTACTTTAAACCGCCATATTTGATTTTCTTGTGAAAAAAGTTCAATTTTAATAACTGTATCTGAAAGAGCGACCCTGAAAATCTAAAAGAACATAGTTTCACAAAAAGATTCCAAGATTTTGAAGGCGTGATTTTAGTTTACAAGTTTCTATCCAAAGTTTACAGAAAATTGTTGGCCTTCTGGGCATTAGTGGGTTAACTCGTAATAATTAATATGTATATATGATAATAGTATGTGCGTAAAATGGTTTTCGAGAAAGAATTCGTGGAAAAATTTAGAAAAAATGTAAAAAAATCGACAATTTTCACACCTATTTGATCGTCATGTTGAATCCGCCAAATTGAAATTGTGTATTTGATCGAAAATGAACTGCAAATATCGATCGATCAAATATCGATTATTTTCAGTGATAATAAGCCATTAGTTTTCCAAAATTCATGAATTATTGTGAAAAAAATACAATTCGTAAATTTTTGCGATTTAGCTGCCATTTTATAATGAAAATGACAATTTTGACAAACTTAGAAAATATACCCTTAAAGTACAACTATTTTGGCCACCGATGGTTGCAGAGAGAGTTGAAATTTGCTACTATGTTGTGAAAAAAAATGAAAAAAAAATGATTTCGGTTTTTTCGTGTTTTTTGATTTAAAAACCGCCATAACTTTTTTGGACTTTATGTTACACAAATTCTGAAAGAGCGTAAAATTTTACGTAAGGAATGATACTTTTCAATTTTATTTTACACCTTTAACGTTGCAAATAATGTCACTAAAAATTATGTTAAAAATGCCCGTCTGGGCGTTAATGGGTTAACATTATTCTCAAACGCTTTTGTAAGAAGATGCTGTTTCAGGTTTTTATCATCGATTAGCGCATTGTCAAATAATGAATGATGAACAATTTGAGTATTTGATACATTAATCGCGCTTTCAATTGGTAGTTTTCCTTTATGATCATCTTGCCTTGGCTGGCTGGACACTTCTTTTATCTTGCCTTGGCTGACTAGATACTTCTTTAATTTTGCCTTGGCTGACTGGACATCTTATCATAAAAAGCTCGATAATTTCGAAACGGCTTAATCAAAATGGAAAAAATTATAGTGCTTTAAAAAGGTCTGAAGAAGAGCTACAAGAATATGAAATAAAAAATATGGGGTTCCGTTTAAAAAAATTCAAGGTAACCTTATTCTGACCTTGACGACGCCACCTAAGGTCAAATTCATAATGTTAGTAAATAGATCTTTTAAAACGCTACAATTCTCATTTGATACATTTTTTTCTAAAATGCTTAGTTTTTGATATTTTACCGTCTCAGTACTTTTTACACACCCTGTATATACACAGTCTATCCCAGATCCAATAAGACTGGTCTAAAAAAAATACAAAGCGTTTATTATTTTGATTTTTTATTCTTGTTTATTCAAAATAGTCTCCTTCTGAGTCAATATAGCGCTGGAAACGTTCAACAAATTTTTCGAAACATTTTTTATACTCATCGGCTGGAATGGCCTTTAGTATGGCGGTCGAAGTCTTTTGGATGACCGGGATGATATCGAAACGATTTCCTTTCATCGCCAATTTCAGTTTGGGAAATGGCCAGAAGTCGCACGGAGCTAAATCAAGTGAATACGGTGGATGATCGATAACAATGATGCCTTTTTTGGTCAAGAATTCACGTACCATGATGGCTTTGTGCGATGGTGCATTATCGTGCAACAAAAACCAACTGCCTGGTTCTCAATATTCCGGTTGAACTCGTCGAATTCTGGCCCACAATCGTTGTAGAACTCCCAGATAATATTCTGCGTTCACCGTCTGACCTTCTGGGACGAATTCACTGTGACCAATTCCCTTTGAATCGAAGAAAAGCATTGTCTTGATTTTGCTCTTCTGAAAACGTAATTTTTTCTCTTTTGGCTCTTCTGGTAACTTCCATGCCGCACTCTGACGTTTTGTTTTTGGCTCGTATTGAAAACACCACGTTTCATCACCAGTTACAATAGCTGACATGCTTGCCGGATTCCTTCGGGAATCCTCATCATCCAAAAGACTTCGACCGCCATACTAAAGGCTATTCCAGCTGATGAGTATAAAAAATGTTTCGAAAAATTTGTTGAACGTTTCCAGCGCTGTATTGACTCAGAAGGAGACTATTTTGAATAAACAAGAATAAAAAATCAAAATAATAAACGCTTTGTATTTTTTTAGACCAGTCTCATTGGATCTGGGACAGACTGTGTAAATTAAAATCATTCTTCAATTCCCCAATCATACGCACTTGTAGAATGTTATGTTTCGTTCCATGTGCTTCGTATTTTTTTCTGCCCATTTAAAGATGTCCTGATACAAGGGATTGAAAGTCACTTCGCTCAACTTTAAGACCAGAGCGACGAAAGCCTTGCTAGTGCTTTCCTCAATTGCGACGATGTGCTTTGAAACGTCTTCAACATCGATGCTCATGTCATCGTTCTCGTAGCTATTAATGCTCTCGCGGAATTGTAAGACTTTGAGAAAGAACTCACTGAGACATGAAGTCACATTTAATTTTGCCGACGGCACGCTGTCAAAGCAATCGGCTAATATGTTCATTAACGACGGTATACGATGATACAAGTTTTTCCTCAACAGTGTATCATACGTTGTGCTAACAACCGGCAACAGTATTCGCAAAGGTGTGTAGTTAGATATTTTTTGCGTGATCATCTTCAGTCGCGAAATTATAATACCGGTCTGCAAACATAGATTTAGATAAGCGACATAAAATTTTGAAAGTGTATTAAAACAAGTTGATTGGATTTCACGATGATAGCATCTATATACTATACTATATATACTATTATGTAAATATTTTTTCACTAATATAAATAATTAATTAATCGATATAGTGTATTCCATGTTACTGCCAAAAATGCGTGAGTCAAGATAATTTCTATATCCTTGAAATGTTATTGCAAGAAATAATAACTAATTAATCGTGATAATAAAAACAATATTATTTTTATAGAGAATGCAAGCGCTTAAAATTAATTTTTTGAATAAACAAGCTGTCAGATTTCGCATATTTGATTTTTAACCGCAATAGAAATATGAATACCTTGGGATGATCCACGCCAGTGTACAATGAATTCAATCTAGTTAATTCAAATAGAAGCTTGCTCAAGTAAGACGAGAGGAAGTTCCCCAGAGAGTCCACTATCTTCTGTAAAGCACTCACGATGCTCACGACTGTTATATCTGGCACGTTCTGACAACAATGAGTCTTCAGCAATTTCAAGATCGGCGGCATGAATTTGTTCAATAAGGTAAGAGCGTGTGTTCTCATCAGACAGACTAATTCCGCGACACATAACGCTGCATTAGCCAACACCGGGCCATCCTTCGATCGTAATAGTTCTGTCGTCATCTCCAGAATCTGCGAATGATCATTCGAAGAAAACCGCGATGTTAATTACGATATTAATTATATCGAGCATAACTAAACTGAATTTTATCGATGCATTTGTATACGTACCGGCTTAAAGACGTTGGGATGATCCGTGGCCAATAATTTTGCCAGTAATTTCAGAGAAACCAGCGTCGTTTGTTGAACAAGCTCATATTCTTGACTCTCGATTTTCTCTTCAGCGTTAACGAAGCAAATGAGATGTTCGATCAAGCCGAGAAGATCTACGTGATCCTCGTTACCAAACTTTCTTTGAGCCAACCTCACGTTCAGCAGATCCAGGATCTTCTTTCTTACACTTAACTGCACGTCTGTTGTCTGTAAGCATCTGACGTTCTTCAAGAACATTGTGTTCGGCAACAAGTTGTTTACCAGATCTAGCGCCTCGTATAGATGATGTAGTAATACCTTCCAATACTTAGCGCTCGGTTTGCTCTGATCCTGATCAGCGACCTTCGAAATCATCTGAATCAGCATGATCAATTGGCTCGCCAAATTATCGCAGTACTCGTTCATCTCGATCGTTTCGTGTGTACTTAGCTGAGATATACGATTGACAAAGTCCTGAGAGGACAAAAGGCTACTGAAGAATTGCACTGCCGTTAATTTATAATGTCGCAGAATCTTCGGGGTAGACTTGCTCACGTCATATACATGATTGTACGGAAAATTCATTGCTGTCTGTTTGTCTTGCTCTTCTTCAATATCGATCGGCAGAATTTTGACGAAATCGATCACATTCATGCAAATCTGGCGAAGAGATAGGAAATAAATTTCTGATTTTCAAGAACCATCCCTTACAAAGTTGGTTTAAAAGCCTTTCTATAAGCATAAGCTTTATTTGTCGACATATTTCTATTTTTAAAAAATGCTCCCATATACATATATATGAAACATATTAATAAAATTAAAACTATTACTATTAGAATTAGAAAAGTTAAAATTATAAAATCATTAATAAAGAAAAATATATCGACAACCCAAATATATATTCTATAGAGAATGGCTTCTCAATCAACCTTAAAATATTTCAATATGCATAATAATATAATTATCTTTTTCTAACTAATAGATTATGTCTTCTTTTTCTTCCATATTAAGCATGATTTTATATGACTAACCTGAAGTAATCGTAGCAACGGAAACTCCTGGCACATCTGAAGAGCAAACTCTAGATGCTGAGCAGACGTCTCGTTTACAGGCTTCGTGCTCAACTTCGCATGGTTCTCGAAGGTGATCAGATAATAAAAATGTAGATATTTGTCCAGAAGCTGAAGCAGTTTAACAAATAATGCTATTCTTCTGTGCTCAGGTATATCTGGCAAGGAAGTAACGAAGATTCGTAACATCATGCAAGCATTATTTTCCTTGTCATCAGCATTGATGATCGGTACCACCGTCTCCAAGACTTTGGAAGTAATCTGAATAGAATACGAGTCGTCTTGACGAACCACCGTGCTGCCCATAAATGTGAAAATGGGCATAATGTTAAGAAATGCTCGATTTACATCAACCTTCTTCAACAATTCGACAAGCACCAACAACGCATGATGATGCGTCTGCGGATTGCGTGATGTCCTAATACATTTTGTGATTAAAGAAATGTATAAACTGGCGTTGCGCAACGGTAGGTCTTGCATCATCATACGGTAGATCGTCTGCAAGATCAACTGATTCGTATACTCAACCGGACTCAACTCTTCTAAACTCACACAAACGTTCACCAGGTCAAACAGCACTCCATAAAGTGTCTCTTCATGTTCGATATTCTTTGCATGCTGTACGATTTGCAGCAAAGTCTCACCGCGTTTCCATGCCTTTGTGTACACTATCTTGGGACTCGCTAACAGGTACATTTGACTATATCTTTTCGATTTCTTCTTCGGGGTATCTTCTGGCTGCTGCTCAGGCCTATTTTGTTTCATCGTTTGCAGTTCAGACATAATAAACGACGCATCGATACGGATTCTGTGCATCGCTCGAGTTGCGTTTGAGATGACTTTGCTCACTTCGCAGTCAGTCAACACGTCCAGCATTTTGGAGAAAATCTTTGATTGCAAATCGCGTGAGATCTTGCCAGCACACATAAAAAACATGTCGTTAATCTGTTTCAATAATATGATGCTCGGCGAGATTTGTTCTTGGGACTCGGTGAGTACGTAAAGATCATGTCGCAAAATACTAGTTTCGAAAAACAACCATACTTGGCTATCGTTCAATGCTTCAATCGTGACATGATTAAAGCGTTGCAGGATGTTTCTCAGGGCTTTGCCGGCTGGCTGGCTTCTGGTTGACTCGTTCTCTAGTTTCTGTAAAAGCCGCAGACCTAGCGGTGCCAATCGCCGGAGAATCTCCGTGTCATTGACATGTGTCAACACATCCAACAATTCAGATCTACGGTCTATCGGTATCTCTTCTTGCAACACCACGTCGAATAGTAGTTTTTGTGCCTGTTGCAACTTTTTCCGTTGCTTCATTAGGCAAGATACATCAAGATCCGGCGAAAGAATATAGTAAAACATGAGCGATAGTTGTTCTGAGTCTTGCACAATCTCGTCGCTTCTAACTGCTATTTCTTGCAGCAGCGCGCAGAACGGCTCTATTGCAAGGTTAAAATGAGCAAGATTTTGAGTTAGCTTCTTCAGGATGTTTACTGCCATCGATCTGCAAACGTTGTTGGGTCTCGCAAGAACCAGCAATAGATTGGTCACAAAATGCTGATCTTGGAACACCCACTGAATAGAGGAATTATCTAATAGCTCCAACGTAATCTGCAGGCAATGATAAGAAGTCTGCACTCGGACAGGTCTTATATACAGCTGCGATAAGAAACTGATTAGATCCTTCATCATGGCAAAATGTCTCTGGAAGAAAATCTGCAAGCATCGGAAATAGTGTTTTCTCCACTTTTCGTTATCCATGCCTTCGAAGAACATCTCCAACAACCTAACAGTCAAATTACTCTGTTCAGCGTTATCAACAAAATCAAGCTTAGGCTCAGATTTAAGGTTTAGTCGTCTGTGCACCATTTCCAATACGTAAGTGCCCACCTGCAGTGGAAGGATGCCTTCAGATGTGAGTTTTAATGCCGCCTGGATATTGTCGCCGGTGATAATGTTGCAGTTATGCAGTAGTTGAATGCGCGGGTATTTTTTGATCATCTCTGTTGCCATCTCGATGACTTCACGCGCTACATTGGCCGGCATGGAACCCACAGGTACCCGACAGACTGAGCCTAACAGGATCATATTAAAGAATAAAGACGCTGCATCGCCGTGAGAAATCTGCTGGCGCATTGAATTTAATATACTATTCGTGTCCGGTAGCAGTTCATAGTTCAAAATATTGTGAAAAGCAGTAGATGAGATAGTATCCGCATTCAATGGGCTCTTTTCGAGATCTTTCATCATGTACTGCATGTAGATATTATTTTTTGCAAAGTTCGAGTACAGAACTTCCATAGCAACTGCCACGTCCTCTTTTGTAGCCGGAAATAAGTATGGTAAAGCTGTAATGAAAATCTTAGTGTCGTATCCATCTTCACAAAGTTCCAAGAGTATTTTCAAAGCCAGCTTTGCTAATTCCTTCTTTGACGCAGTGTGACATGTCGATAACAAAGTCATTAAATTATCCATTAAAGTTTCAGTAGGTAGCAAACTGATTAGTTTGTTGGTGGGGATAGACAACAAGGCCTTCACAACGTTCACATCAGGGTCGTAAAACCGTACTTGAAGCGTTTTTCTCATCATACCGCGAAAACTTTTAGGGATGGTTATGTTATTGTCACCGAGAATTTCTAAAGCACAAAGTCGCTGCGCCGAGCTGGCGTGAGACAATTTGTCCAAGATTTTAACCGATTCCTGCATCTCATTAGTGATGAAGGGCCAGGATATGAAGAAATTTAAAGCCTGTTTAGAATCTATGTCGTTCTCATCTTGTTCAGTGAGATGTTTCAAATACTTGTCGAACCTTTCTGGGTAACTACGCTCAAAGTTCTGGTAGAATCGTGCTATAAAATCCTTTGCATTTTTCGGCATTTCACTTCTAAAGAATTTACATGTTAGCACATTGGACAAAATCGCATCCACTGCATCGTCGTTGAGTCTCACATGTGTCAAAAATGTGTCCATCATGTTTTGAACACTGATAGTAGTATCTGGGTCCTCAGCAATCACTTGACAAGCTGCCTGAAGAAAAGGCACAGCAAATCGCGACGCATTCATAGACTTTGAGTGGATCTGGGAAACAGTCTCAATAAACCAGAGCAAACTGGATAGTTGAAGCACCAGACTTTGGGGTATGACAGTCAATCTATTAATTGGAGACTGGTAGAGATATAGTAAAAGAGTGGTAGCTTCCTGTTTCAAATTTGTCTTCTTGAAAGTCTTTAGTAGTATTTTTTCTATTGTACAGTCATCTAACTTCACCTGTGAATTTTCAAAGAAAAATATGAAATTTACACTTGCATCTTAATTTTGATGCACAATCAAATTTCTACAAGTCTAACATTAATCAATAATTCAAAGTTTTCAAGTAGAAGTTTTTAGAAATAAATGAAAATAAATTTTTGTAAGAAGTTAAATTACCTTTGTCATCAAATGAGCAATGATCATGTAACTGGCAGCAGTGAGATCGAGAACAGAACTTTTCAAACCATAGAAAAGAGTAGGTAATAAATAGTTGATCTGAGTTTCAGTAATGGTGGTTGCTTGTTCAATTAAACCTAATACCAATGTAGTATAAAAAGCACACAGAGTGGTTGGCTGAGATGTTTGGTTGGTATGGACCTTAACTGTAGATATTACATGATTGCACAGCATCTTCAGGAATTCATCATCTGTGCTCAAATGATTAACAATAGTCTGTGAGACCTGTGGTAGACCACGCTTCTGCAAAGATTTCATCCAATACCACTTGTCACCTTTATTTGACAGATCCAACAATTGTACTGCCCTTAAAGAAATAAGAAAAATAAGTAAATATATTTCAAAGTAATTTAAGGATAGAATTTTTAAAATCTTTTAATATATGAGATATATCACACACATCGGTATCAATCATGATGTTAGATACCAATTTTAAAGTTAAAAATTTACACAAATTAAAGACAAATGTTAAAAGGAATAAAGCATTCCCAAGAAAACATTGTTTTTTCAATTGCATATCTTTCTTCTTTAATACATACCTAGCAAATATACGAGATTCATGGTACGGCAAAATCAGCAATACAAACTGATCTCGATTGTACTCATGAATGTGGTATCTATATATGAGCCATTCCAATGCTTTATGTGAAGCATGTAGTAAAAAATATGAAGATAATAATCTCAGAAATATTTCAATTTCTCTATTCAGTGATTCATTTAATGTGGCATCTTCAATAGCACGTTCCAAGTTCACAGAATTCTTAGCAAACAATGAGTTATCAAACTTATTGAAGAACGGACAAAGTTCCACCAACTTTTCCAGACCATTTCGACCTAGATAGTTTAAAAATATGATCAGAAATAAGACATGCCAAGTATTTCTTCCATTGTGATTTAGTTAATACAGTATTTTTTCTTGCAAAACTTTAACAAAACTTACTTACTTTATAAAGTTATTAAAAATAAAAAATGGTACATACTCCAGATATATTTAATATTTAACATGTTCTATACGAAAACTTTTTGTATGACTTTTTATTCAGGTCATTTTTTGACCTTTTAAAAGCAGATATGTTATAAAATATTTCATTATATTAATTGATTCATTGGCCGGTAAATAACTAGCTTGTATAAAATGGTTATATCGTGTGCCAACAGTGGTGCACACGGCCTGAATAGAAAGTTTAACGTGTATCACCGGTGACACACGTGGCATGGAATGTGTTATAAAATGAGATATTCATGTACATTAAATTGTATATCACATTGTTTAACTACAAGTTTCTTTATTTATTATAATTGTCATATTGTACATATTATGACAAAATAGTAAAAAAAATGTTATAACAAATGCTAAAACGTACGAACGAAAAAACTAACCTATACTTAATAGAGTCGCCCGGTCCAAACTTGCAGCTTCTTTTGGATCAAACAATAAACTGGGACGTGTTTTATCTTGCAGGAGTAAATCTGTTTGTGGAGTTCTCAATTGAGAAAGTTGTTCAGATAATGAAGTTGCCATCGTCAATCTATAAATTAAATTTTTTTTAAATTAAACCTTAATAGCTCCTCTAGTACTCCCGCGTGTTTTTGCACGTGCAAGACCGCGTCCCGACAGTGCTGCGAGATCGGGAAAATTTCCCACGCTACAACGCATGCCCATAGTTGCTAGATGTAATATAGTGCGATGCTACAGCACATACAGCGCATATGCGTGAGATGACGTAGGCACGCTGCTTGAGGTAACGCGACAATTTCCGGAAAAATGGCAGAGATAAGGTTGGTATCAACGAAAACTTCTAGACGACATAGTTTTAATTCCTAAAGGTTAGTAATATTGTTTAAGTGGTAAGCTGTTAGTTTGCGCAAACTTTTACACAGATGTACGCACGTGTGTCACAAATATTATATATCGTCAAATTATAAATGTAAAATACTTTATAATATTAAATAAAAATTACATAAGTGAAAACATAAAGTGCGTATAACAAAATAAATGAGACGAGTGAGAACATAAAGTTAATAAAGTAAAAAACATAATAAATAAATATATATATATATATTATATATATATGTGTGTGTACATGCATATATATGTATATGTGTAATTAGATAAATAATTATTAAATGTAAATAAATAATTTAAGTTTTTCAGTGTTTTGGCGTGCTTCAGTAAATTATCGGCCATGACATTGGTTGTGACTTAGTTCTTCGCATTGGCATAAATTTGCCACTATTGCAATAAAGAAATGTATATCAGATAAGTAATTAATATTCACATAAAATAAAAGATTAAGTATCTATGTATAGTCAGTAATGATAGATGTTGAACTGATTCTTTCTTTCGATTAATTTTTTGTTTCAGTTTCCCAGCTATCCAAGTTTTTGCAGAATATTAATAGTTGGAGGCCATTTTCCTGTGAAGTAAGATTACCAAAGTTTGAGGTTACTGTGTTCTTGAATGCGTCCCAGTAAGCAAAAGTTGAATCACATCCTACCATCAAATATCAGAGTAAGATGTGTTACTAGCAATGTGATGACAGATTAATGCATCAAACTAAGAATAGGTTCGTAACATTGATGTTTACTGTCATATCATTAATGCTTTTGACAGCTATATTCGAAAATTTTTTATCACTTTATCATGTAGCGTACTGACTGATATATTCTTCTTATCTTTTAGGAAACAAGATGTTTTGCCTATGTTTGCCTCTGCAAATAAGGTTATTGTGATTTACGGTCAAGAATGATGAACTTTTTCCCAAAAATTGAGGGTCGGTCCTTAAAGAAAACAACTACAATAAAATGAAAAATGAAAATCATATAAATAGAAGATACAAGAGTCACGAGAAGTCAAGAATCACAAAGAAAAGTAGAAAGTAAGAACATGTTATGTTATACGTTTATTTCCTCTTTTGCTATTAATTTCGATAATTCGTACAAAATTAATATTAAATCTAAATCTTCGCTTTCATCAATTTTGGCCTAAGTATCTTGTAATATTTCTTCTTTTCTTCTTAAGGAGGAATTAAAATTAGACCTTGCCCAAAATGTCGGATTCCTCATTATGTTACGAATGTTTCTCTGTTGTGTTAAATTTTTTGTAATACATAATATTAAATTGTAAGAATGCTAAAAATATTTTGGCAATAAATGCAATAGAATGCTTAATAATATACCTAAAAATGTAATGATTGTTGAATGTTTACGAAAACTTTCCTTCAGTTCTCTATTATGTCACCCACTTATATTGTTTCCTAAAAGATAAGAAGAATATATCAGTCAGTACGCTACATGATAAAGTGATAAAAAATTTTCGAATATAGCTGTCAAAAGCATTAATGATATGACAGTAAACATCAATGTTACGAACCTATTCTTAGTTTGATGCATTAATCTGTCATCACATTGCTAGTAACACATCTTACTCTGATATTTGATGGTAGGATGTGATTCAACTTTTGCTTACTGGGACGCATTCAAGAACACAGTAACCTCAGACTTTGGTAATCTTACTTCACAGGAAAATGGCCTCCAACTATTAATATTCTGCAAAAACTTGGATAGCTGGGAAACTGAAACAAAAAATTAATCGAAAGAAAGAATCAGTTCAACATCTATCATTACTGACTATACATAGATACTTAATCTTTTATTTTATGTGAATATTAATTACTTATCTGATATACATTTCTTTATTGCAATAGTGGCAAATTTATGCCAATGCGAAGAACTAAGTCACAACCATGGCCGATAATTTACTGAAGCACGCCAAAACACTGAAAAACTTAAATTATTTATTTACATTTAATAATTATTTATCTAATTATACATATACAGGGTGTTTGATAGCTGATCATGCAGACGAAAGTTGGAGATAGATTGGGTGTAGCCGAGAAGAAAAGTCATGTACCATAATATCAAATTGGAAATAGTTATCGAGTTATTAATTAAAACATGTGAGCCAACGAGCGCATAGAGAGTGGAGGGCGGCCGCAGTAAGCACTTAGACATTTGATATAGGCGGAGTCAGTGAGTGTCGATAGGCAAGCGCGCGCGGCGAGGGGCAGCGTAAGCGACAAGAGGCGATCGCGCGCGACGAGAAGCGAGCGAGTTTTTTCTTTATAGCTTTTTCCTTATAGCTCGCTCGCTCCTCGTCGTTCGCGCTCGCTCGCCTCTTGTCGCTTGCTCTCGCTCGCTCTTCATCGTTCGCGCTCGCTCGCTCCTCGTCGCGCGCGCTCGCCTCTTGTCGTTTACGTTGCCCCTCGCCGCGCGTGCTCGCCTATTGACACTCGCTGACTCCGCCTGTATCAAATGTCTATGTGCTTACTACGGTCGCCCTCCGTTCTCTACGCGCTCGTTGGCTCACATGTTTTAATTAATAACTCGATAACTATTAGCAATTTGACATTATGGTACATGACTTTTCTTCTCGGCTACACCCAATCTATCTCCAACTTTCGTCTGCATGATCAGCTATCAAACACCCTGTATATGCATGTACACACACATGTATATAATATATATATATTTATTTATTTATTATGTTTTTTACCTTATTGACTTTATGTTCTCACTCGTCTCATTCATTTGGTTATACGCACTTATGTAATTTTTATTTAATATTATGAAGTATTTTACATTTATAATTTGACGATATATAATATTTGTGACACACGTGCGTACATATGTCAAAAAGTTTGCGTAAACTAACAGCTTACTACTTAAACAATAATACTAACCTTTAGGAAATAAAACTATGTCGTCTAGAAGTTTTCGTTGATACCAACCTTGTCTCCGCAGAGAGAAGCCTGAAAGCAGAGAGAAGCCTAAGAGCGGGCATGGCTACATTTACAGCGTTATGGAAAAGTTGGCTGATTCGAAGCGCCAACTGGGTCCATTTTTCATGGTCATGAACTACTAATCCAATGTCCATGATTTGTTGGTACTATTCCATGCTATGTCCATAATTATTTGGTTCTGTTCTGTGCTATGTTCACGAGCGAGCTAGATTAGTTAGATAAAAATGAAGAATCGGTCTTTGTCTCACCACCAGCGAATAAACAATCGCGACGAAGCGAGCCAGCAGCGATGTTATCGTAAGGCAGACGTCGCCGTCTCCCCTTTCACCCTCTTGTTTTCCTTTCCACATTGTTTTATATTCATAATTCGGGAAGAAAATAATTTCAAGAGTTCGGATGATTTCTAGCAATGACGCGACAGAGATAACGCGCGGCCACATTAATTTATCATGACTTTTATAATCCTTATAATTGTATAAACGCCCATATATGCAAGTTATAGATAATTATATAATTATAGATAATTATAGAATATTGCGCGTATGTTTTAATATTGTACAATATGGTATATAATAACAACTTCATTTCTTGCAGTAATTTTTTTAAGGTCTTCGTTGTGTAACGACACAAAGATTTTTGTGCCGTTACGCTGACTGCCGCCTAGCAGCACGCGACAGTCAGCTGAGCGCACACCCCCCGACCCGCGCTGACACCGCGCCGAAACGTCGCGCTCGGCCGAATATGCCCGACTACCCGGCAACGACGCTCGGGCACGATCGGCCGCCGAACCGAGCTAGCGGCCCCGCCGAAGTTATTCGGCAAACGCCGCATAATCACGATTAATTCCGATTAAAAAGCGGAATTAACTCCGATTAAGGGCGAAGAAAACCGAAGCCCCAAAATCTCGGGTATATAACCCCGGCAGATTTTAACGAGAGAGAAGTCTCCAGAGTTCCGTCTCCACGACTAGTTCTTTCCGAGAGAGGATCAACCGAGAAGCTTCTGCCGAAATTCGTAAGTGAGTTACCAGGCCGTCTACGACGGTGATTAATAATACCTGTTCTTTGCGCTATAAAGATCGGACGGCGAGTTTGCCGTCGCTCCGGTGTGTTCACCGGAACGATCTTCTTTCGTGCCGTCCTTGCGATATAAAGGATCAGACGGCGAGTTTGCCGTCGCTCCGGTGTGTTCACCGGAACGATCTTATTTTGTGCCGTCTTTGCGATATCTCGTGCCGTCTTTGCGATATAAAGGATCGGACGGCGAGTTCGCCGTCGCTCCGGTGTGTTCACCGGAACGATCTTATTTTGTGCCGTCTTTGCGATATCTCGTGCCGTCTTTGCGATATAAAGGATCGGACGGCGAGTTCGCCGTCGCTCCGGTGTGTTCACCGGAACGATCTTATTTTGTGCCGTCTTTGCGATATTTCGTGCCGTCTCCGCGATATAAGGATCGGACGGCGAGTTCGCCGTCGCTCCGGTGTGTTCACCGGAACGATCTTATTTTGTGCCGTCTTTGCGATATTTCGTGCCGTCTCCGCGATATAAGGATCGGACGGCGAGTTCGCCGTCGCTCCGGTGTGTTCACCGGAACGATCTTATTTTGTGCCGTCTTTGCGATATTTCGTGCCGTCTTCGCGATATAAGGATCGGACGGCGAGTTTGCCGTCGCTCCGGTGTGTTCACCGGAACGATCTTATGTTGTGCTGTCTTTACGATATAAGGATCGGACGGCGAGTTTGCCGTCGCTCCGGTGTGTTCACCGGAACGATCTCACGATATCTCTTTCGTAATTTCATCAAATAGGACACCAGGAAGGCAAGAGCTGATCAGCTGGGAGTTGACGCGTCGGTCCAGCACACAAGGAATACTCCCATCGCCCGCACCCCTCGACCCCCGGGGCGATCCACGCTGCGGCCGAGGACAAAAGCGAGCGCGACGTGTCGCGACGCGTTCTTACACCGTTTTTTCAACCCGTCGTCAAGTCGCGTGCCGAATCACCCAAGCTAGCGCTTTAAACCACAACGGAACACACACCGCGCGGTCACTAATCGGTGGCTCGACCCTCATTGCGGATCAAGCGCCGGCTGAAATAATTACCGAAATAAGCTCCAAGCAAATCGCTCACCTACCACGGTGACCCCGCGGGGCTCGTAGCGTCCGCGGAAACGATTCACGCAATCCTCTAACACCCAAACATTGGGACGTCGCGTCGCAACACGCGGTCGTAGCATGCGACCAAATAAAGACTTATTGTGTTATACTTATTTTGTCTTCGCTTATTGACACATACACACACCACACACACACCTTCACCTGAAAATCTTTCCTGTGGTCGGCTCGCAAACCGCGATCCAAGCCACAGGGCCGGATCAACCCGAAACAACCGAGCCTGGAGGCGCGATCGTTACAGTTGAGGTCGTGAATTAATTTTTTTCTTCATCAATCAGTTTTCTGCAAAAATTAAGATTTTTTAAATAAAATATAAAATGTTTCTCTTCTCTTCTCTCCGAAGAGTTAATTAAAAAATATGTACTCCACAGAGTCAACTAACAAATGTGTAGTCAGAAGAGTCAATTTCTCCCCCGTGGACGCCACCTTGCCGTGGTGGGGGAACTTGCGTGTCCCAATGATGTACAGTGCTGTGCCGGCGGGGGTTTCGACCCCTAGCAGGTTCTACCATGCCGGAGTGGTCTGTACAGAGGGGCCAGACTAAGAGCGTCCATAATATTCCTGGAGGGGCAACTGCCTTCAGGTTTTAATAGGGTCTAGAGGGTCTCATTCGTGGGGCCCAAAGGACCTTACAGCGCGGGCAGAACGGGTTCGTGAGCCAGGTGAAGGCAACCGTTCTAAGGGAAGGAAAACCCTGATTGCAAACCCGTACTTGTCAGGATGTACAACCTCCCCCTACCAAGCAGGCGGGGGCGAAGAAAGGGAAGAAGGAGGCGAGACCGGGTCAGCCGAAGCCGCCGAAGAGCGCGGCCGTCGCCATCATCTGCCCCCCTCCCCCCGACCGCTATCGGGAGTTCATGGTAGAGGCCAGGCGCCGGATAAGACCAGCAGACCTGGGTATCCCGGGGTCCCTGAGGGTTACTCAGGCCCTGAATAGGGATATGCTGGTCGAGGTGCCTGGTCTCACCGCGGGGGCAGCCGCCGACCGGCTTGCGGAGGAGTTCCGTAAGCTGGCGGCGGAGAAAGGCCCCGGTTTTCGCATCCGTAGGCCGGTCAAGATCGCGATGCCCCCCCCCCCCGCCGCGATTCCCACCCCCGTCGGCGCCGAGCAGCGTATTGGTGGTCGGAGGACATTGCGGTACTCTGCAGTGCCTCCGACCGCGCCAGGAGGGCGTACACGCGTGCCCGGCAACAAGACGGGGATGCCACAAGGGCAAAGGAAGACTACCTTGCCGCCAGGGTAGTCCTCAAAAAAGCCATCAAAAAGGCCAAGCGGGAAGCCAGGGAGCAATTAATGAGCTCCCTGAATGACGACCCGTGGGGGCGCCCATATAAGAGGACGATGGGGAAGATCCGTCCTTGGGCGCCCCCACAGGCGGAAATGTTAGACCCCCAGGCCCTCGACAGGCTCCTGGACGCCCTCTTTCCGTGGGCGGAAGGGGGCCCCCCGGTGATCCCTTCCCCAGAAATGGGGGAAGGAGACTGGGACGAGGGCCTGGAGGTCACTCCAGAGGAGCTCGCCAAGGCCCGGAGAAAGCTCGGGGACAGGGGCAAAGCCCCTGGCCCTGACGCGATTCCAGGCCGCGCTTGGGCTCTTGCGTTGGCCGAAGGGGACCTGTTCGCGGCCACGTGCAGGGTCATGACCGGATGCCTCAGGGAGGGGGTCTTCTCCCAGAGTGGAGGAGGGCCAAACTGATCCTCCTCCCGAAAGAGGGCAAGGAGCCCGGTAGTGCGTCAGCCTACAGGCCGATTTGCCTGCTGGACGAGGCGGGCAAGATGCTTGAGCGCATCATCGCGGACCACCTCGTCCAGCACATGTCCTCGAGTGGGTTGGATCTCCACGACCGCCAATACGGGTTCAGGCCCGAACGATCCACGTTGGATGCTATCCAGTGGATCCGGGACCTGACCCGGGCGGTCGTGGAGATAAGGGGCGGGGTGTTGCTGGCGGTGTCGTTAGACATTACCAATGCCTTCAACACCCTGCCCTGGCCGGAGATAGGACGGGCTCTTGAGCACTTCGAGATGCCCGCCTATCTCCGGCGGATGATGTCCGCCTACTTCGGGGACAGAGACCTCGCCTTCACGAAGGAAGGCGGGGTTCTAGGCTGGCGCACCATGGAGCGCGGTGTCCCGCAGGGGTCGGTGCTCGGCCCCCTGCTATGGGACATCGGCTTCGACCGGGTTCTTCGCACTCCGCTCCCCGACGGCTGCCACGTCGTCTGCTACGCAGACGACGCGTTAGTGGTGGCCGAAGGGAAGAACTGGGAGGAGACCCGCTTCCGCGCGGAGGTGGCAGTGGCATCGGTGGTGGGAACCATCGGAGACCTGGGTCTCAAGGTGGCGCCCCAGAAGACTCAGGCTGTGTTCTTTCACGGCCGGCGTCGGGCGGCGCCGGAGACCCGGGTCCTAGTCGATGGCGTCCACGTCCGCGTCGGGCCAACGATGAAATATCTCGGCCTGACGTTGGACAGCCGGTGGTCATTCGGGCCACATTTCAGGCAGCTGGCCCCCAGGGTGCGCAAAGCCGGACTGGCCGTGGCCAGGCTGATGCGTGCCCAAGGGGACCCAGCATGGCAGGCTCGCCACCTGTATGTCGGTGCGGTTCTCTCGGTCGCCCTATACGGGGCGCCTATCTGGGCTCCTCAGCTGCTG